GAACAAAATTTCACAATTTTATTGGTCCCAACTATTACGTAAACATCAAATTTCAAAAAGAGCTCGCATGATTGAGTCCTACTAATAGCATAAGTAAATTTTAACTTATATGTAGTTATTTAAAATAATTTTGCCTAGGTTCTCTAGTAATGTTGTCTCCACTCAAAAAGTACCGGTTAAAGTTTTGACATATATAATTTAAAAAGTTATCTAATAGCTTTAATATAAGAATTATTTAACTATGTGATCCTTTAAATCTTCACTTTGAAATTTATTATTTTCGATGAAAAGTGAAGATGTGTGCATTTCGTTATTAACTTTAATAATTTATCCTTAAACAATTGGGGGCTAAAGAAAATGAGTAACATGACAAGCATCTTTAATTTTTTTTTTCAATGTTCAAACCATATAAAGAACTCCGTAGTAGTTACGTGTGAATTTACTTTGTCTATTTTGATATTACGAATCTTAGCATTGGAATTGGAAAATAGTACTCCAACAAGAAAGTGTTAGCTCACTAATTAAACTGAAAAAATACAAATGAGGCTCATGTAGTATAATCTCAATATAACTTGTTTGTGAACCAAATGACCCCTAAGATTACACTTTCTTTAATCCAACGCCTAGCAGTGGAATAAATCTACGTAGTACGGTATTTATTTAGAGTTTGGTTTTAAATGTTAATTGCTCACATAATTTGTATGTGTCCCCTGAAATTTTCCATCTAAAGTTTAGTTTTTTTGCTCACGTAATTTGTATGTTTCTCTCGAAATTTTCCATCTAAGGTCTAGTTTTTCAAATTTGTTATAATTTATTTTAACAAATTTATGATTCAACATTATTTTTTAAAATAGTAAATACTAAATAATTTGTGATGTCTGCTAAGCTAATTATAAATAAGCAAGTTTGATAATGCAATCAGCGAAAGACAAAAAGGGATTGTGATTTATGAATGTTTAATAACATTAGCCAATTTTTTATAATGGGTTGCCAACATATCATTTATTTAGAAAATTATTTTGATTGTTAAAGTAGCAATAAAATATTAGTTAGAAATAGAGAGAGTAGATAATAGGCAAGAGAGAAGATAATTCTATCAGTACAACCACGTGTCCACCATAAAATCAAATACATAATGAGGTGTGTGAATGTGATGAATGAGATGTGCAGATGGGGTCCACTTTTCAGGGCTAAAATGTCTTGCACAACGAAAGATAATCAAAGCTACTACAGTAACATTTTATGTGGACCAATTAAAATAACGAATTCAATTTAAATTACCAAAACTACCCTCGTCAACAAGCAGACATGTTGACGGAGAGCTCTATGGTAACTCTCACTTATAAGATAGTAGAATATAATAATATTAGTATTCTAATTTCTTTGGGAAAAAAAAAGATGGTTCATAGAGCCGCAGAATTCACATGTTCTTTCACTTAGATTTTAGACCTTGGGGCCTTTCTCCCACCAACTACGCCCTCACCACCGTCAACCAGACGAATATATATAGAGCATAATTATTGTTTGAGCATATATTTAAGTGATAGCGTAAGGAATTTTACACTATCAGTATATTTTAATATTCTTCATGTCTCAATTTATATTAGAAAAAAATAAAAATTTTAATATCTCATTTTACATATTATGAAATAATTTATAGTCACATAAATTTTATAACTTATTTTAAAACACAAGTTTCAAAAAATTTTCTTTCTATATTAAATTTTATGCCTAGTCAAACAACAATCACATTATAAATTAGGAGGAATGGAGTATGGTACAACAAATAACTTTGCTTATTTTTAATCACTAATTCTATTTTTATGGACAATTACATGTATTTATTTTTTGAGCAACCTGTTTTTTTACACTGTTAAACTCAATTTGCAAAGGTAAACTCATTTCAAGCTATGAGGTGGAACTGGGTTTCCACAAAATGGGGAGGAACTGCAATAGATATTATATATTTGTTAATATAAATCGTCAAGGGACACAAAGTGTCAATTTCGAACTCATTTTGACACTAAACCCAGTTTCGCTGGAAACTCATTTCAAACTCATTTTGACACTAAACGGATTGACAAGCTATGAATTTGAGTTCAATCTATGAATTTGAGGCCGTACATTAACGTAGCGTCGAATTAGTATAATTGATTACAGATATGACTGCTCCAATAGATATTATATATTTGTAAGTATAATATATAGGATATTAGATCGTACATTAATGCTTGTGCTGTCTATCAATTGGTCTTTGAAATCGATTTGGATGTCTGTTCCAACGGATTATTTATTAAAAATAAAGAGCTTTATTTCCTTAAAAACCAAAAATTGATAAGAAACACTGAATATAGTGGACAGTTTAGATCGAATTCCAGTGCAATGAAGAGTGATTGGATCACAATCTGAAGTACATCAAATGATTCCCATGGAAATTTGAGATTGCAGTGTTGATTAGAGCAATATATTTGAAGAGTTCGCATTGTCAATATGAAAAAGGGTTGAGGGTCTACCAACCGGCAAAACAATACTGAACTGGCAATTTGCTATCCTTCGACCTTAAGACCTTTATAGAATTGTTAAAACTAGGATTTAATTTATACGTAATTTAACTTGTGATAGTAGTTTATTTACTAAGTATTTTTATCAAGTTATAAATTAATATTTATTATAAAAATATATATATAATTACTTTATAAGTAACCTGATAATACAAATAGTTTTATACGTAAGTGCCTAGAACTAAAACTCTTAAAACTAACGTATGTATGATGTATCCGTTGAATGCAGAATGATTCATGCCAACCTGTTGAGATATTGAGTGGGTCTAAACTCTAAAGTACCAGCCAGTATCCTGAGATCTTTTTCAGTTCGCGTTTTGCGCTTAGATTTGTAGTTCTTTGGGTAAGATTTATGGGAATATATTAATTAATTAATTAACACTGTCTTGATCATTCTGCTAACGCGATGTATTGTCTACCAAGTTTCTTTTCGGAAGCTTGTTGGCCCGGCCAAAGTTGGAGCTAGGAGTTGAACCTTACAAGTTCACGATTCTAATCATTTAAGCAGTGGCAGAACCATAAATTAATACAAGAGGATTAAAAAAAAATAAATCTAGGATTTCATAGATGGGATTTAGACCTATGATCTAAAGCAACTTTTGAATCCCTTTTACTATTATACTTGAATTTTTTTTCCATATCAAGGGGATTCAATGGCTCACATATAACCCCCAAAAAATCATTATTCGCTATCTGTTCAGTGTAATTTTCTAATGAAGAAGGATCGTTTTAAACCCCATGACTCAACTTAGATCCGCCACCGCTTTTAAGTTTTTGGTTCTATATTAATACAAATTTGTATATATTTAATAAATTTTAAGATAAATTAACACAGAGTTTGGACCAAATAAACTCTAGCTCCACCCTTGTATCGGTACCTAAGGGTGACATTGTGCTAGCTTTGGTACAGTCTAAAGGAAAAACCTAATAGGAGACTGGAATTGGTTTAGCGAGCTAATTTTCATGCCAATGCGGCAACACCAGTAATTTAACTCATTAGATATCGGGAATTATTTTTGCTTAAAAATATTGAGATTTTAAGCTTGTGTAGCTTAAAGAGGGTGAATGAGAAATGGAGGGAAAAATGAAATATTTGAGTTTCCCTACTTGGCAAAGGGATATTGTCCCATATTGGAGGAAGAAAAGGCTTTTGATGGGTATATATATAATTGCTCTTCTTCTAGCTCTTAAAGAGTTAAGAAGAAGGCAAGCCTCGCGTCGTCATCGTCGCTCGCTCGGATTCGGATTCGGTCAAAGATGAAAATTTTCTGATCTTCTTCTTCTGCACAAAAATTCCAGTGTGTTTTTACAACCTTCGAGTGGCTCGCTGTTCACCGGCATTTTTGTACCAACCCTCCGGTGAGTTAAATCGTTCTATCCTGGGAGGATATATTCCAGCACCTCGGGTACTTGAGGGGAATAATTTCTTAAGGACACACTGTGTATTCAGTGGGCTCGATTTATTCCTATACTGTTTTTTCAGAATTTATTTCGTCAAACAAGTATTACTAACTTTCTGTTTTGTTTATATATTTCAGAAAGTTTAATTGTATACTGATTGATAACAAAAAATAGATTACATTAATTTGTTTCAGGCTCTACTTTCAAATATTTCTTTTCATTGTGGGTATAGGATGCAGTTGCGGATCTACGTGAAGCTTTTAGGGTGCTTAAGCACATTATTGCTTTGGACCAGACTTGGTAGGTTAACATAGGCAATTATAAATTTTTTTAGTAAAGTAATGATTGGGCGCCCATCACTAAATTCATATTTTCTTTTCTTTTGAAACTTTTATCGGCGAGCAGTTATAATTTTGAAATCTTGGATCGGCCACTGCTTTCTTTGAGTCGAGGATCTGTTGGAAACAGACTCTCTATCCCCACAAGAGTAGTGATAAGGTTTGCGTGCACACTACCTTCCCCAGACTCCACGATGTAGGATTATACTGGGTATGTTGTTGTTGTTAGATCGGCCATTGATAGGATGAATCCTTCTCCTTTACATTGTGTAAGTTAGGTGACGTTGATTTAATAGCATTAGCAATTTCTTTTACTGTGAATTGGATTGTTGAGAACCTTTCCCCACCCCAAATTAAAAAGAGGTTGAAAAGATAGGAGATAGGATCTTCCTTTTTCTCAAAATGTGCTAATATGGTGTTGGTTGTCATTGGGAATTTTTTGGGCAAGAATCTTCAAGGAAAGGGAAGAAACTTATTGTCTCTCTGGAATATACTTTGAAGATAACAAATTAACTAGTCGAGGGAGTCTGCTAATTTGCAGATGCAGAGCAGAACGTTGAAACACACTGAAAAATCACCGAATTGACCAGCTAATTGCATTCTACTTGGTAAAAACTTACCAGCATTGCGTGTTTTCACCAGATCATATTAAATTAACATGATTAAGTAAGAATGTATATTGATTATTCATAATCAGTGCTTTGTTTAAAGGATTTGCAACTCACTATATCGCATTGAATTTCTTCTTCTTGATAATATACATTAAGATACTTGTCTCTATGATTGTTCAAGTTCTACCTCGTACCTTACAACAAAATCCAAACAAAAATAAAACATAAACTGTAGAGTCTCTATGAGTCAAGTTGTGCATACCAAATTCCCTGGATTTTTACATCCTTAGGAACCTTTGCTCCCAAATCAGTATCAGATGGCTGAATACTCTCAAATACACCAATCAACTCACCAGTATCAGGCTTGCTGTTAGTTACACTCAAAGTAATTTTTCCTGTTGAAGATGATGTGTTCTTTACATTTTCCTTCTCAAGTTCCTCTTCATCTCCTCTGCCTCCAGCAGGCAATGCAACCGCGTTATCATAGCCGGTTGATCCACCTCGTCCCTTTGGGTCAAGGAACGACGAACCTCTGTATGATGGCACGAGGAATTCACCACTAAAGCTTTCCGGTTTGCCACTTGCTGCAAGTTGTTTGATTGTAAAAAGGAAGGGGACGCGCTCGCCACCAGGAAGTTGAACTGTGACCGCAGCATAATCAATTCCATCTTTTTCCTCGAACTTAACATTGCCATCGGAAGATACTTCTAATGGCCCTTCGATTTCATCAAGAGTGTAGGTTAATCGCGTCATTAGTTTGGTTTTCTGGAATGCTGGTGGTGAATTCTTGTTTACACCTGTTGGTAATTTAAATAGAATATGGACAATTAGAGCAAAATCTAAGACAATAGAGAGAAAAATAAAACTAACTTGATATTTTTATGGAAAATAATAAAGTGAGCATACCTATCTATAATTCTATAGGCAGATTTAACTTATTTACACTTACCCTATTGTGTAATTTAACGTAATATAGCAGGCGCATTACCTGTGTATAGAAGTTGAATTCTTTGTAGGATTTCATTCAAGCGGAAATTCAAAAAAATCCTCAACTATTAGCTCAATTTATTTGACTGACAAATTGTGAAAAAGTAGAACTATATACTCTTAACAAACGAAAGTAATAGGTTAAACATGGAAGTATAATTATTCACTAATACCTTCTGCTTTTACAGTGAATGAAGTTGGCTCTAAGCAGAATTTCTTGGCATTATATTTGCCAGGCTTGAATGCAAAGGTTTCAAAACCTCCTTCAATTGTTGGGCATTGGTTAGCAGTTCCAGTTCCCTTTACTTCCATGTATGTCTTGCTCTGAATTTCTTCAAAGGTCAGTCTTTTTGGAACTCCTTCAGCATTTGCTCCCTACACAGTTTAAGTGTTACAAACTTTAGGAATTTGTCGCCAGAAAATATAATTGCAAAAACAGAATAACAGAGACTTTTGATAGGGTTAATCACTACTGTCCTAAGAAAGTCTGCTCCTGCCCCGACTATTTTTGCTGTTGACGGTATGCCAGAGTTTCTTCAGGATTACAAAGTCAAAAATCGAAATTCAGCGTCAACAATACTTGAATTTCCACAAGAAAACATTATCAGTTTTCCAGAATATTAAGAAAAAATGAATGCTTATGCAAATCCGATTGTGGTTACATTTTAGAGGGTTCACCTAAGGGTGTCACGTGGGCCGGGGCCGGTCCTAAGTGGGCTTCGTGGTCCCGGTCCTAAGTGGGCCGGTCTTAAGTCGGCCGGTCCTAAGTGGTTCCGGGCATCGTGGGCTTCTTGTTGGAACCGACTCGGGACCACGAACTAATGGTCCCGGATTAAGTGGGCCGGTTCCGGCCTAAGTGGGCCCAACAAATACTTTTTATTTTTTTTAAAAATTATAGAAGTTAGAGAAAAAAAATGGTAATAAAAATATCTAAGTCAATTCCTTGTAAATTATATTATAGATTTGTGAATAAAATATTTAATTCAAATTTAAAGACAAAAATATTGTAAAGAGATATTCAAAGCAATATATATATATATATATATATATAT